ATACATACACTGCTGGTTCTTCTTCTTTTATTTTTACTGGCAGTTGGCAAACAGCTTTCAGTGTGCTTTATCGCCACCTATTGAACTGGAGTGTGAGCCCAAATTGAAACCCTAAGTTCTGATTTTACAAGAAACTGAAAAAACGCCTCACTTCAAATGTGGCTTCAATCTAAGCAAAGTAACTTGACTAAATTAAATTGTACTCTTTACTCGTGAAGTCGATTTTGAAGAACACCTCTCTCTCTATGATATTGTATCCGATTCATCAGTACATGTTCACCTGTCTACTGTGATTGGCCACAGTCACAAACTCCTGTACAATGCTTTACGATGCTTTCCTTTTCTTTTTCGATTAGAATTTACATACATATGGCCAAATCAAAGTCTTGATAAAATATTCTCTCCTCCTCCTGGATGTTTCCCCTCATCTTACCCACATTTTTTAGAAGGGAATAAAAATGTCTTCCTTTCTGCTACTTATTCTATTCCTCCTCCCATTTTGTTAATTTCATCTTTCACTCTAGATTTTAGTTCTGATTTGCTGTATGAGACTGAAAAAGTCATTTCTGTCTTTTTATCGCTGCTGGTTTAAATGTACAAGAACTCATAAATAAAGCATTCCCATTTTGTGATAGTTGGGGGGGTTTTGGGGAAAAGGGGAGATTAGGAGGAAAGTCATAGAGGGAGATAAGAGCTGTATCCTTTCTGTCCCAACCATTCCTCTCCTCCTGTTTTGAACCCACCCACATACCCCCTGCACTTGGCCCTCTCCCAGTTTGTAAAGGGATTAGTATGGTAGACTATAGGAGCAGGAAGATGACTTCACTTTGGAGCAGGCAGCCCGGAGCAAGGTGCTGGTGGGCTCGAACAGGGTACAGGGGGGTTTAATACAAATCAGGTTTACTGATAGATATAGGCCTTATGTTGAGGAGTCAGGAATCAACCAACTCTTGGCACATTGTAGATCGCACACACATTCAAAGTACAGTGTTTTGTTGCAAAAAACATATTTTTAAGATGCCAAAACAAAAACGGTTTTCATTTAAATATATTTAGCAACTATGGTACTTTTATCAACGTACTTTTCCAACACTGACACAGTGAATTGCATTTAGATATTCTAACAGTTAGCAAACAGACTAATTGGCCCCCATTATTCTGTGTTTTTTTATACACACACAGAGACAGTAAAGACGGATTAAGCTTATAGTTGAACTGAGTGGTACACACCAACTGCGTGGTCCCTGAACCTACCTGTTGGCGTCACACGCTGTCATCACCAAATCATGATGCCTGATCTTGCGTTTCTGAATTTTTATGACTTTTAAAAATCTTTTTTAACAAAAAAGTTATTATCCAGATGTTCTATAGTTGATTTTAATGAAGTGTGTGTGCTGAAGTTGCTCTTGGATCAAGTGGAATGTGAAATGTGTGGCTTTAAGCGCACCATAATCTAAATGTTGTCTTGTTTATATTCAGGAGTATTGATATACTTTCATATATCTCACTGGAAAAAAACACATCTGTAACAGTTTGTGTCATTCTTGCTGTCACTCATTCATCACCTGATCTCTGTGTTTCATTTTAACGGGTGCATCTGTCTCTCGCATCTTTATTTTATCCTTCCCGGCCTCTGTCCGACTAATGCCGATATCTGTGTTCGCAGGGAGTCCCCGTGCGTCAGCCTCGGCCCTGCACTTCCCGTCCCCCTCCATCATCCAGCAGTCTAGCCCCTACTTCACCCACCCCACCATACGATACCACCACCACCCCGGACAGGACCCCCTGAAGGAATTTGTGCAGTTCGTCTGTGCGGATGGCTCAGGGCAGGCCGCCGGACAGGTAAGGCAGGAGGGACGCCGCTACCTGCAGCAGCTGCCTGAAACACAGAAAAGCACGCAGGCAGGTTGATGGAAAAACAAAGATACCACCAATTACCTCTCACATCACAAGGACTCACACCACCAGAGACACAAACACAACACACCAGACACTGGTTCAGTCAGCTGGTCTAGAAATCTTCGTATTGTCTTGTCGGTGTCATTTTTGCCGTTTCCTGCTCCGGACCCCAACGTCTTCCCCACTCTTCCTCTTGTCCATTTCTTTCTTTTGCTCCACCCAACCCCTCCCCTCAGAAGCTTACAACCATCAGCACGAGAGGGACTCAGTCACGGCACGCTTCAAGTCGAGCACACCAGTCCTGTGTTGTGTCATCGTGTTACTGTCTTCATCTCTAGCTGTTCTGATTTCAGTTGCCGTTTGGTTGCTTGGGATTTGGTACCGTTGGTTGGTGGTGTTGTGATTGTGTAGACGAGTGTTCTCCCATGCTTTTGATTTCTTGCCATCTGATGGATGAGCCCAGTCAAAGAGTTCTCTCACTGCCTCCACAACCTCCTTCACCCAACACGGACCGCCTCGGCGGAACCTGGTCCCACACCAAATCACTTCTTGTGGTGGCTATTATTTTTCACACCCTCATTAAAGATGGCGTCCGCATACCTCATTCCCTTAGTTTTTTTTTCCCCATCTCTTCCTCCTTCCGTCATGAATTTGTTTATATTTTGGGCCCGGCCTTCTTGAGCCGCTCCCCTTTTCCATTCCGTGTCTGCGGGTTGTCGCATGCCGCCCTCTTGACCCTATTTGTGTTGTCCGCAGCCGAACGGGAGCGGCCAGAGCAAAATGCCAGGCTCCTTCTTGCTGCCTCCACCTCCCCCAGTGGCCCGCCCAGTGCCCCTCCCCATGCCCGACTCTAAACCCAACAGCACGCCCCCTGACGGCGGACTCTCCTCGCCCGCATCTCCGTGTAAGTGACCCTGCAGAGACCGTTTGCAAAGTAACACAGGAAAAAAGAAAAGAAAAGAGAGAAACCTCCCTCTAGTGACAAAAGACCAGTGTCGTGTTGTTCCTCCTCCGACCTCGTGCCGTAATTGTGTTTCCAGCATCTCACTTTCCCTTCCTTGCAGAAGAATTTGGAAACCAGCAGAGAAAATAAGGTGCAGTCCCAGGCCCTCAGAGGTTTTGACTATGTGTCATTACAGACATGTGTGGCACTCCACATGGCTTTTTATTAGGCCCCTTGAGTTGTGGTGGCACCACAAGTTGAAGCCACTCCACGTGTCATGCTTCGAAAGCGTCATTGCTGCACTGTTTCCTCTTTTCCTCCCTAAAAGGACTCATCGGCAAACTGTCTGATTTCGAGTGCTGACTTGTTGTCTCCAGAAGGGCACAAATTTAGGGCAGTTATGTTATATGGACTCCAAAGCAGAAACTGGGACGTTAGTGGAATTTTTGTGGATCCCTTTGCTTGGTGAGTGTGAAACAGGAAGAATAAGTCAAGCTTTTAAGGTAAGGGAGTGATGACAGAAATATGTCTGCCAGTCTTACGGTAGAGGGGCACTGGATGGAGCACCTTTTCTTTTATTTTCTAACTTTTAGCTCTTCTTCAAAGCTAGTGTTTTCCTCCCCTTCCTCACCCCCAGTCAGCGTCTGCAAGTCTTTAATGTCTTTTGTATGTTATTTCAATTCTTAGAAACACATGGATGTATACTGTACCTTCCTTCCTGTGTCTCTCATTGCTGTCCTTCCTCCCTTTCCTGCACACAAACAGACCACACAAAGTCTGCACACAGCTTCCCTGAGTCCTTCAGTAAGTTTAGGTCTCTGGAGTCCGTGGGGGAACCTCAAACTGCCCTAAATTTGTCAGAGACGTTGATGCCAGTTGGTTTTAAATATCCCCGACTGATCCTCAGCGTCAGGATTCAGCTGTGTTCCGTCTCTCAGTGCAGAGTTTGTCACCCAGGGAGATCTGAGTTTGCATATCAGATTATGACAAACATTTCCACTGGGTTTCACTGACCTCAATGATATGCGTAGCAGTACTTAATTAGAACCAAGTTCACTGATGTTATTGGTCTCATTTAATTTTAATTTTTAGCTTATTTATTAACTAGTTAAATACCCTAAGTAGTCAATAAATAGTAGTTACGGTATTTAACAGATGTTGTTTTCTACATGTGTTATTGCTTTATTTTTAAAGTCATATTTGTGAAATATGTGAAGCTGCAATCTGTAACTCTTATAAAAGTCTGATCTACATAGATCAGAGTTTTATAACTCTGATCCTTAGACTCCAGAGATTAACTCTTTGTCAATCATCTGCAAGTGCGTTTGTATCTGTTGGATATTTGAAAGGCTTCTCTCAGGACGGTACGAAATGTTGACAGAAATGTGTAAAATGAGATGCTAAAATTAGAAATGGGTTGGTTACTGTCGTCAAGGTGTTTCAAGGTTTCAAAAAGTTGTGGTTTGAAAATTACTCAATTTTTCCATCATAGCAACCCAACAGTTCAGAGTGGTTTTAATCAGATGGAGATTAAAACACTGGAGTGACCTGGGTTGTCTCTGGTTGTGTGTAACATTGAGAATTATGTGGTGCTCCTCTCCGACTTGTTGCTGTACAGTAATACTCAGCTGGCTGAAACTGCCACTAGACATTGCCCTTGTTTACCAAAAGAGACAAATTTGTAGGTTTGGAAATATTTCTGGGCAAGAAAAACACAGACAGTCATGGTGAGGATGCCAAAGACTTTTTAAAAACAAAACTATGAGAAGTACAGTATGTCTGCCCATCAACCGGCTGCAGACCTGAGCAGATAGCCTGACTAGCTAACTAACCCCTTCCAGACTAGCCCTACAAATTCGCCTCAAGCCATTTCCTGTTTTAATGCCACTGAGGTAACAGCAAAGTGCAAGCTTTGCGTTTTCTATGCATGGATGCACTTAGATTTATTGGTTGGAGTTATGCTCACTTATGCCTAAATATGCTTATTTGCATACTCAATACAACATTTATGGTGTGTTATATTTTTGTCTCCATCTTTCTACCAAAATCCAAATTATATATAACAATTTTATAAGTCAATTAATTATCTTGGAAAGAGATAGTTTATTAGTGGTTTGTCCATCTTAAAAACAGAGGCTAGAAATATAATAGTTTTAAAGAGAGCAGGAGAAGTTTGTCTTCATATGTGGGTTCTTTTTTTTTTTTTTTTTTTTTGCTACAGCGATCTAAAAGGTAAAATGCAGGAGCGCACAGAAGACCGCAGCTTTAGAGTTATTCTAAGAAGTGTCAGAGAGAAAGAAGGGGCCAAGAATTCAGAGAAATAGTGTCCGTCAGAGTGAAATAAATTTGTGGTGTATGGAGAATAAATGGAGAACTGTGCAATTTGCTGATGACTTCCAGATGTTAGCTAATGACTGCTAACGCTGCGTTCGTGGTGCTGTAAAGTTTGCCACGGTGTATCTGAGTATAAAGAAACAAAAGCAGAGATGACATTTTATGACTGGAGTACTAAATGGACACCAGATTTCTCAGCAAAAGGATCAGCTGGTGGGCTGTTAGTTGTATCGCACACTGTATAATCAGGCAATTCTGGGTTTTATGGTGCCAGAGTCATCAGAGAACGAGAGAGGGTAAATAAAAAAGTTAAATAAAAGATTACCATTTGAATTCATTAAAAAGAAAGACTGTATCGCTCAGGTTTCTTCTCTGGCAGGCTAATGCAGATGTCCTGACAACCCTAATGCTAGTAGAGACACTGTAGGTATTCACATAAAACCATCTGCTATGAATTTTGACTGGCTGCAACATATATCTTGAATACTGTTAATTCTCAGAACACTTAATGCTCGAGAAAAACGAACACTACAAACAGCCAGGTTTGTTATTTTGTGTACTAAGATCTCAGTGGCCCTATGATAAACGCTAAAGGCAGGAAAGCTAGCAAGTAGCTTAGGTTATCAAAGATGACAGCAGTTGCAGAAAGTAGGGAACATTTTTATTCCGAAATAAAATAAAAGTTCAAATTGAGGAATTGTACAGCTACTAGATGTCCTTTTTTTTAAAAAAAAAAATGTTTGTATTTTTTGCAATTCTTTTTCTAATCTTGGTTTATGTAGTCCTAGCATTAGCATTATAACATACAGACAAGAAAATAGTCTTTCTAAGACTTTTACCAAGGAAGCAGCATTCCTACAGACAGAAACAGACTGCATACCTTTACATAAAACTATTTTAATAAAACTATTTTTTTACACTACTACCAGTTTTATTCTGACCTCAACAGTCCATCTGTAACTATCAGTTCTGCTAAGGTATGGAAGCTAGCTGAGATGGTTCAGCTAGCAGCCTGGGTTCGGAAATTTCTTGGGTTGTGTGGAAAAACGGGCAAGACAAGAAAAGCACATATTGTGTACAACATTCAAAACCTGTCAAATAAAAATACATTTACATTTATCCATAGGATTTTTTCTTTCTATAGAATCTTGTTGCATATTTTAAGCTTCTTATTAAGGATAAATGTTTATGTTGAGATGAAACAAAATAGTATTAAATTAGTAAGTTTTCCTTCTGCTAATTGTGTTTTTCTGATGAACTTTAGATTTTTTTTTCTCTTGTCATTAAGCTAAATTAGTTTTACAAGCATTAGCATCAGCACTAGCATTAGCATTACCACGAACAAACATCGCCCTCTCACACATTCATGAAACCGTGGTTCCTACACATTCTCAAATAGTCTGGAAAAATGCAAAATTTGTATTTAGTGTTCAGGTTTGGTTAGCTCTAGAAAAATATTAGAGTAATGAAACATGAAATGTATTTGCAGCTTTAAAAAAATACCTTAAACATCCAGAACATTTTTGACACCTATTCTATATAAAGTTGGACAAAATCACTTTCATCTTTGAGTTTTTTGTTTGTGTCTTAAATCAATAGTGTTTTGACAATAAATTCATTAAGATAAACCCCCTCAATGTCTGTTTTTTTTAAAGCTGTTTTTATTTAGTACATTTAGTGCTATCTCCCTGTGCATGGGTGGGTTTTCTCCGGGTACTCCGGTTTCCTCCCACAGTCCAAAAACATGACTATCAGGTTAATTGGCCTCTCCAAATTGCCCCTAGGTGTGAGTGTGTGTATGCAAGGTTGTTTGTCTCTGTGTTGCCCTGCAACAGACTGGCAACCTGTCCAGAGTGCCCCCGCCTCTCGCCCAGAACGTTAGCTGGAGATAGGCACCAGCACCTCCTGACCCCACTGAGGGACAAGGGTGTAAAGAAGATGGATGGATGGATGGATGGATGGATGGATGGATGGATGGATGGATGGATGGATGGATGGATGGATGGATGGATGGACAGACATTTAGTGCTAAATGATTTTAACTGCTTGCGATTCAAAATAATTTTTTGAAGTCATATGTTAAAATAGGAAGGAAAATTAGCTGTAAAAATGGTACATTTGAGTCGAGTAAGTTTTGTAACCGTCTACTGATCTTATGTGTAACATTATTTATTTTGCCCCTACAAATGTAGTTGTTAAACTCATGTTACTCTCCAAATTTTCATCTCAATACATGATCAGTGTATCATTTTTGACTCTGTAAGTTAAAAAGTACAACTTGTTAAAACTTGTCCTAATCTGATGCGTAAAGATATTGTGGACATAAAACTGAGCAGGGTAGATAGCAGATTTACAAGGCTGCCCAGGAATCTTGGAGTGAAAAACGTTTAAGTGAATCAGCTTAGCTAGTAAAGTGTAAAGTGTTGGTTTAGTCAGTCCATTGGTATTTGGCATTACATGATGAACGGATGTTTATCATCCAGTCTTATAATTAAGGTCAAATTGTGCTGGATGTAGTTGGATCTGACTGTGGCTGTGATTGGACTGTACAGTCAAGGTTTTTACGGTAACCTGTAGAACTACATACAGTGATTCCGGCCTGTTTTTGTGAAGTGCCTGGAGATAACATCTGTTGTAACTCGGCTCTATATAAATACACCAAATTGGACAGAATTGAACTTGACGTTGCGGGGCCAGTTACTCGAAAGGTCACTTATGTCCAGCATGGTGTGTGTTCTGTTTCCACAGCATACTCCACGCCAGGCGCCACAGCTCCCAACAGGTTTGTCGGCATCGGATCACGGGACAACAACTTTCTGAACATCCCGCAGCAGACACAGGTAAGAAGTGAGGGACATCCACTCCCAGAACCGCTCTCCGTGTTGAAACCGTAAGAGGAAGCTCATCTGCCTCGACTGTAATTACTGGTGAAACTCAGGAAACGTATTAAGTGAGTGGATGTGAGCCAGAGCTCCTTACTCTCTCACTCTGTGAAACCTGCTGCAGGGTTTCCTCCACCTCTCCAGTTACACCAACCCACAGCGCACCATCAGAGTGTGCATTTGTACATCTGTATTTTACTGTACGTGTGTGGTTTACCATATGTGCTCAACTGTTTATTTGGCATGTACGCAGCCTGCCCTCAAGGCAGACGGCCCTTTTCCCCTCACTGCCTTTTTTTCTCTTTCTGTCTCTCTACCTTTTCCTTTCCCTGCTCCACCCAATCCCCTACTTTTCCACTTCACCTACTTCATTCCTCAAACTTTGCTCGCCTTCCCTTGCTCATATTTAATTCTCCTCTTTTTACTGTTCGCCTCTTTCACCTTCCGCGCTCTCTTCCCATCGCCGCTCCACACCCCCCCTCTCCTTGTGCCTCCACCATTACCACCAGTACTTTTCTCATTAGTGTCTAACCACACCCGCCTGGAGCCAGCTCAGCCCCGCACCTCGACACATGGAAACCATCTCAGGATTCCCTCCCTTATTTCTCTGCCCTTCGTTCTCTCGCTTCGTCTTGCTTTTCATTTCTGCTCCTCTCAGTTTCTCTTCTTTGTCCCATTTTCACTCATTTGCCCGTCAGTATTTTTTTTTTACCCTGAAATTCACTTGCACGTCCTGAACACTGCAAATATTCCACACGTCTTTAACACGGGAAGCTGGGATAATTTGGACTCTGGAACGTTTAAGCAGGATAAAAACTCAGGTCTCCACAAAACAGCAGAAAGGTTTGGGGCGAAAGTGTCTACGTGGAGACTAGAGGTCAGGCTGCACCGACAGCTTCAGCTACCAGCTGTGGCCTTCTTGTGCCCTCTAGTGGCAAATGTGCTGCTTTACAACCAGCAGAGAAAAGAAACAAGATCCCAAACAGTGCAGAAAAATGCTCGATATACAGAGCAGGGTCCCAAACCTTTCCAAGCCACAGACCCCAAAGAGCATTAACCTCTGACGATGATACAAAATATGTAAAGGACCATACATTTTTATAATGTTTTTTTTTTATCATTGTTGAATAATTATTACATTCATTTAGCATAAATGCTGCCTTGTATCATCTGATTTTAGATGACCATGGAAAATTTTATCAGATAATAAAATTTTTCATCACAATTCTGTTTTTTTGATCATAAGAAAACATGTGATGTTTTATATTAATCACATTATTTTTTTTATTTTATTCCCACAGTTTCTGTGGTTTTTGCAGCAATGTCCTTATTGGAAACTTTTCCATTTCTTGTGAGCTGCGGTCGAAAATGAGTATCAGAAATAACATTTCTGAGTATTATTCTTACTCATATTTTAGATTAAAAAAAAGATTTAATAACAGAAAAAAAAAATTCTAAAAAATTTAAGATTAAAAAATGTATTTATTTTACCTTCAGAGGTCCCCACAGCGCTCCTGGGCGGCCCCCACTTTTAAAGACCCAGATGTAGGGAACCCGAGTTTCAGCCCGCTTCAAAGTCACGTCTCGGCCGTCTCGTTACCCCGGGTGACCAGACATGATGTCATAGCCGGTTGATCTTGAATTTGAGACGGGCTTTGCTGGAGAGGGATTCGGGGAAAGAAAAGAGGGTGGTCACTGTCTGCTGCCAAGGATTTAGAGGCGATGCTTACAAGAGATAGATGGGTGGAAGGCAGAGTAACTAAGAAGGGAGAAGTTACAATGCCATGGGCCCGCTGGGACGGTGCCCCCACCGCCCCGGGGAGTGTGCTAGCTGAGAAGGGCAGAGGGGGAAGGGGTTGTATTCATGCATTGACTATTAGAGTCAAACAAAACAAAAGGGCCGCTTTCCCGGAGGAGCGGAGGAGTTTCCAAGGCTTGACTTTTAGAATGTTGGCACTTGAGCCGTCGGTGGCAGATCCCGCAGGCCAAGCAGGGCAGCCAACTTCAGCAGCAGTGACCCAGTTCTGCCCCCTGCTCACGCTGACTGGGAGACACCCGACATGAAGACGGTGTGAGTGACACAGAGGGTCAGGGTGCTGCAACCCTGCTGCTGCTGCTGCTGCTGCAGTAAGACAGAACAACACCAACTGGACTTCTATCCCCAAATCCAGCATAGTGTTAGTAAATGTGCAGCACCTGGAAATGAACTGGATTGAAATTATAAATTGCTTGCAGCATTTTTTTAATGATAAAATCTAAAAATATACGCACTCATTGGGATTTAGCTTTCTTGACTCTAAATAAAATCCATTGCAAGCACTTTGGTTAATGTAGCCCACTTTGGTGTACTCTGCTTAGCCTTCCTGTTATCTGCTTAAAGTCTTGTTCTCTATCACAGCTTGAATGAATAATAAACCCGTCTCAACGTGTCAGAGATAATTCAGTTCCCTTTTAAAAAATATTTTCACATCTCATTTCTATGATTTTGTTTTTTGATCCCTCACTAGCCACACTTGTATCCATCTTTTTATGTACATTTTGATGTGTCGCATTAATAAAGGTTGACTATTTCCTCAATTTCGCAAGAAAGTTTTTATACTCCCTTAAAGTGGTTTTCGGGTTTTGCAAAAAGGAGTTAATTCTGTGAAGGCCAAATAAGTTCACACTTAACAAAATGTTCCTGGTCTAAACCTCCGTCACAGAGAGAAGGACTCTCTCAATTTTCCTGAGATGTGTGGTCCTTGATAGTTTACGACCTCTACTTCCTGTTTACTACAGCCATGTGTAACGTTAACATCTGACAAAATCCTGATTTGTGTAACCTGGTTGATTTGCCCCAAACCAGCAGACCAATCACGCCTAATTCGCCTTCTCTCTCTTTTTTTTGTGGCATTTTAAAAGTTTGCTCAAAACTTATGACAGTACAGCTACTGAAACAAAAAAAAATTCTATCCCTCGAATTGTCTTTATTGTGTAACAACATCCACATTAAGTGTTGTTTTTACTGTGACATTTAGTATGAGGTGTTTACTAATCCAGAAAATGATTGGACTTCTGCAAGAACCCAAGGATCTTGATCCTGATGCATCCCTGTCCACCCCTAGTATACTACTGTCACTTATTCACCTAATACCATCATCCAGCAGTAAGACGTATGAATACCACTACAGCCTGTTGATGCATATTCTACACATACCAAAGATCGTATTGGAAACACTTTGATGCCATCCAGCAGTCAGAGTTTTGCCCCTGAATTGATGTTTAATTTGTTGTATGTTCAAAGTACTTAATTTATAATATGTTTGACAACAAAAAACATTTTTTCACTATTAAATCAATTCATTCAGTAGTTAAGATGTTTTACCTTGTTTTTACTTGTTTTTACATTTTCAAATGCATTTGAGACAAAACTAACCGCATCTCCTCTTTCCCCTTCCCTTTTGTTTCTCTTCCAGTCTTGGTTCCTCTGACAAGATCTGTGCACAAACCAGCAAATAGATATCTTTCTTTACAATTCAAAATGAGAAAAAAAAAAAGAACAGAGAAACAACTTGCAGGATGACAATAATTGTCTTACCAACCCGCCGACCAGCCCTGAGACAGTACGTCTCATCTGATATGAAATATAACCAAGCAACGCAGGAAATTACAGTCGCATGACACTTCTAGTGGAACCCTGGACACATTCACGCAGTCGGAGGGGGAGGACCTGAATTGGGTGAAGAGGGAAAGACAAACGGATGGACTGGAAGGAGGCTGGAAGGAAGATGGAGCGGAGGAGGACGCAGTACGCGGGCCTCCTCACACCCAGGAACCACAGCAGCGATGCGGCAGCAACAAGCGGACGTGGGGGGAGCGGTCAGCTTCTCCTGCTTTCCAAGGACGCATAGTGAAACAAATGGCTAAGGAAAAAAACAATCAACAGTCCAGCAAGCTACAAAAAACTTTACCCACAACGAACCCAAAACACAAATGAGACGATGAGCGTCCAGTGAGAACAGCGGCCCAGGATCTCATCATTGCCCATAGCGAAACCCGATTGGCTCCTCTTGCCCAGCCACCAATAAGCAAGCGACCATGCCAAACCGTATCTTGATTTAAAGTTGCACTACAAGCTGAATCAGTCAACACTAACCCTTAACGATGTGCACTATTTATCTACGAGGCATGGGAGGTAAACCACACTCGCCAAGATGATTTTTACGTTCTACGAAAAGGAAGCACACCACCACAAGGTACAAGAAGCCTTCAGGCGTCCTCCACCCGGCATGGTTCGATTCAGCCAATCACAGGTCTCCCCTTTGCTCACAACGTTGTCAGTCTGTGTGCCATGACTGCAGGATTTCTCACCTTTTAGCTCATGATATTTCTATATGTATATGTAAAAGCTTTCCTTTTTTTTTTTTTTTTTTTTACCCAATGATCTCAGTAAATTCCCTCCACACACGAAGCAATCGGCGTCCTGGACTCTGAGAAATGTCACGGCTATTGGCAGCAGCTATGAGTTTCGCCCCCAATCGTCCCCATTTTGTAACATAGACGAACGCTGACTAATTATTTTTCCCTCGCGTGTTTTTTTTTTTCTTATTTGAATTGACTCCTTTTTGGATTTGTACTATTTTCTAATTGTTTTTGTATTTGAATGGCAGCACCTTAAAGCGAGAGAAGAAGAAGTGATATGTTGGGGGACAAAGAACACGGAGTGGCTGGCTAACCCGGAGAAAAATAGTGCTTGTAAAAACTTGGGGAATATGCCCACCTGCTGTTTTAGATGTGGAGCTGGTATCACACCCATGGGGAGCTACAGTGAGCAGCTGGTTAGACTGGAGTTAAATCAAAACAGTGTGAAGAGATGGATACGGCCATGTTAACTTTAAATTTCTGGGTATTTACTAAGAAGTGACTATATTAGACATGATGGCGGAAACGGAGAACTGTTTTGGAGCTAGATTGAACAAAAATGTGAGGTTTTAGTTCGATTTTTTATTCTTAAAAATCCCTGGAAAATTATGACAATCACTTGCTTGAGAAGAAGAGAGTCAAACAGTAAATATGTTTGACCTACCATTCGTCAGTGCTTGACTGATTAAAGTCTGAGATTGTGAGGAAAAAGCACCTAGTGGCTGCAGGTGTTATTGCACTTTAATTCACTTAGCATTTACTTGACATTTTGACTGACTGTGTGGTCCATTTCCACTTGGAAGGCAGAATTTGAGACACAAGCAGGACAAATGAACTGGATCCTCACCCAGCCCAATCTCAGAATCCAAAATGGCTGATGTGCGTGTCACATGTAGTGATGGTTGGAGCGCTAAACTGTCTATCTGCATTTCTGATGGTATGTATCAGCAGTTAATGGACGTGTTGCTAGTGCTAATGATTAGTCTCACAGTGGATTGTGATAATTAACATTTAAAGAATAGCTATGTTCAGAATTTGTCAGCAGGTAGTGACTTACCTGGAGTTGGTACAGATATGTTATCCCCAGAGGCTGAAGCTAGCAGCTAATCCATGGTCAAACATCTTTTTAAATCCGAAAAGGGATTTTTGTTTTTATTCTATTTGATGTTTCCGAGCAATGTTTCTAGATAGAAATAATTAAATATTTCTGAACAAATTAAAACTCTTAAAGACGGGAAAAATACTTTTGCTGAATGAAACCAGTGGATATTTACAAAAGCGTTAAAACTACCGATGTTTATCAGGGTCTTCTTAGGCTTCATTCACACGAATGTAACCCAAATTTGATTTGGGGCTCGGATGCGACCATCCAGCTTTTTCACATCAGTCTGAACGGCCTGATTCCGATCTTTTCACC